TGCCTATTTTGTGACGGTAAACACCCATTCTTTCACTGTCAAATACCTTTACACAAAAAATTGGAAGTGGTACAATCAAAAAATTTATGTAATAACTGTTTAAGAACAGGACACCGAGCTTATAACTGTATTAGCAAATGGACCTGTAAAAATTGTAGACAACGACATCATACGATTATTTGCAAAAATAATAATAATTCCAACAATTACAGGAACAATCGATATAATAATCCAAGAGGTAGAGGAAATTACCAAAATCAAGGTAATCGCTACCATCCGTATGATAAGAGAAATCAAAACCAACAAAGAAATAATAATAACAACTCATATAGACAGGAAAACAATGAAACAGCGGATTCTTATGAACAATTATTCAATGAATTTCAAGGAAGATTGAATCAATTAAAAAATAACAAACAACAAGTAAATGCATCAGTTAACTACTGCCCTGCTAATACAGGAAATCAAGCAAACTCTCAAAATCAACAAAGTAATTCGGCACCCGTAAACCCACAGCCTCAGAATGTTGTTAATGCACCAAACATATGACTAGAAAAAGTAGTGATCTCACTAACATTGGGTTTTCAATACCCCAAATGCTGTTTCCTAGAAACAATTAAAGCTACATGTCTCGAAGGAAATATGCAAATTGGAGTACTATTAGATACAGGAGCCCAAATCAATCTAATAACACAAAAGGCAGTACAAAAAATGAAATTAAAAACATATAAAGTTCCAAAGCTATATCAAATCGCAGGAGTAGGTCAAGGAACAACACTTTTAAACTCACAAACTATTGTTAATATCACACTCCAATCAAACATACATCCACATTACAAACATAGTACAGAAGCAGTAGTAGTACCACTTGATACAAGTTGGACTGGACAAAATCCGAGTCCTATAACATGGTTAACAGAATTTCATCATCTTTTTGCAGATCCAGATATATTAAAAAAGAGAGAAGTAGCCTTCGATTTAATACTGGGGGGAAAAGACCTAGTACTCCTTTCAACCCCTTATAAGTTTCCATTATATGATGATCCATACTTCAACTTAACAAACACTCCATTTGGATTAGTTCCAAGAGGATATTGGTATGATACACCATCAAATACGTTCATGTTTCATCACCAGGTCAATTATGTAAAATCTCTAGAACAAACTGTTGAAGATTATGACCTTAATCAAGCAATATTACGACAAATAAGATCAGATACCTTTGATATATTTGGAAATAATGATGAAACAGATACAGCACAGCTAAAACTAGCACAATATATGAAGGAAATAAAAATTAGTTCAAACTCCAGAGTTATAGCAACAATACCCAAAAACCCATGCTTTCCAGAATATTGTAATCATAATTTAAAAACAGGAGAACAAAGAAGTCTATCAGTAATAAGATTATTGGAAAAAGGAGGACCAATGGCAGAAGCTTATGAAAATTTTGTAAATGACTGGATAAAGGACGGAATTATAACTCCTACATCATTAGAAGAATTAA